AAATTCCTAGATATTTCACTTTATTCACTACCTTAATGCCAATCTTTTCTTCCAGATTAATTTTCTCCTGTTCGGTCATGTTCTTTGTTAGGACTTTTGTTTTCTTCCTATTTAATCTAAAGCCGGACAGTCTGCCAAAATCTTCCAAAAGTTCAACCACCTTGCTTGCACTATCCACTGGGTTCTCCACCGACAGCACCAGGTCATCAGCATAGGCTTTAAGCTTAAATTCTTTGTTTCCAATTTTTATCCCCCTCACATTCGCTGCCTCCCTTATTCTATTTGCAATAAATTCTAGAACCATTATAAATAACAGGGGGGACAGCGGGCAACCCTGCCTTGTACCCTTCTTAATCTTAAATGGTTTCGTCAAATTATCATTTATGATCATCCTGGCCTGTTGTTCTGAGTATATTGCCCTGATGCCTTTCAAATATGGGCCTTCAATACCTGCCTTTCCCAAACATTGTAGTAAAAATTCCCATGAAACGTTATCGAAGGCCTTTTCGGCGTCTATAAAGATTAGTGCAGCCGGGACATCTATTCTCATATCTAGGTATTCAATAATATTTAATATGTGGCGGACATTTTCTTTCTGGTGTCTGTTTGGGAGAAAACCCACTTGATCTTTATGTAAATACTTCATTAGGAGCTTCTTAAGTCTACTGGCCATGATATCCGCAAAGATCTTATAGTCGTTGTTAAGCAGAGAAATTGGCCTGTAGTTTTTTATATCTGTTTTTTCTTTTTCTGTTTTTGGGATCAGGGTTATATAAGCCTCCTTCCACGAGGCCGGGGTCTTTCCCCCCTGAAAGATATTATTGATCACGTCTTTTAATACCGGAGCTAGATGTTCTTCTAGTACTTTATAATATTTTACAGACAGACCGTCCGGCCCGGGGGCTTTCCCGGTCTTCATTCTACTAATAGCCTCCTTGATCTCGCTTACAGTGATCTCCTTATTCAATTGTATTCTATCCTCTTCTGAAATATATTTCTTTTCGTTTTGTTCCAAATAGTTCTTGATCTCAACACTGTTTTCCCCTCCTTTTTCATATAGTTTTTCAAAAAATTGAGTAAACCTGTTTTCTATTTCCTCTGGATCTTCTATGATGTTATCCTCCAATATTATTTTGTTTATCATATTTTGTTTCTTTCTCTTTCTTAACTGCCAGGCGAGTAACTTCCCCATTTTATTTGCCGACTCAAAATACCTTTGCTTTGTAAATTTAATTTTCCACTCTATCTCTTGGTTTAATATTGCTGAGTATTGAGATTGTAACACCTTAGAGGCTCGGTTAGCAGCTTCATCTGATGGGTTTTTAATTAACTTTTTCTCACAATTTCTCAGTTGAGAGAGGATCTCCTCTTTCTTACGTTCCCTTACCTTTCTTCTATAATTGTTTTGTTGTATTAGGAGGCCCCTCAGGACCGCCTTGCTGGCGTCCCAGACTACATCTATGGAGGTTTCTTTATTCAGGTTTAAATTTAAGTATTCTTTTAGGGTTCCTTTAATTCTTTCCCTGACCTCTTCACTGTCGAATAAGTTCTCGCACATCCTCCATCTACTTGCCCTTTAATGTGCTTTCGAATTGCTAGGTGGGCAGGAGCAGAGACCAAGCAATGGGAGCTAACTCTGTCGCAGGGATTCGAACTGCCAACCTTCTGATCGGCAAGTCCTAGGCTCTGTGGTTTAACCCACAGCGCCACCAACGCCCCTTATTTTTATGCAAACATTCTCCTAAAACATGCATTTTCATACTTGCTGTTTTGTTGGCGTACCACACCGCAAAATTTAGCAAGGTGTGAAACACAGGATAGCTGTGTTTCAGTACACATAATATTTTGGGAATTGCAAATTAGATAGGTTCACATTAAAATACAAAGCTGAATTTCTCCTCTAGACCTGACACATCTCACTTGGCAAGACATTCTACATCTCAAAGTATTGGTATTCCAAGATTACATGGAGATCAGTTGGTAGAGCACGAGACTCTTAATCTCAGGATCATGGGGTCAAGCCCCATGTAGGGCAAAAGATTCCGGCATTGCAAGGGGTTGGCCTAGATGACCCTCGTGGTCCCTTCCCACTCTACAATTCTGTTATTTACTCAGTAGTCTGGGTTTGCCTGAACTTGAGTCTGGACTAACGATTCTGAGCCCCTGTGTTCTGATTCAATACATGATATCCAATCACAGAACATTATAGGATTTGGGCCTCTCCCATTGGCCCTTAAACTCTTAGTTATGATTCACAGCTTGGCAGTTTAGACAGCCAATCACATTGTGAGTGGGACTGGCCCAGGCCTCCAGAAATGTATATCAACAGTTGCTTTGCCCTGTGGTCCCATTCTGTTAGTTCAATAAATGTTCTTGCTGTTATCACTGCGTCTTGCTTCGTGGGAGCCCACCTACACTTCAAATTCTTTGGTTCTGTAAATGAAACAGGAAAGTAAAATGGATCCGGATGATCTCCTCACCCCTTTAGGCCACATTCCCAGAGTGGTGTAACAATCAATCCCTCTTCCCAGGGAGCTCTGGGAATTGCAGCTCTTTGAGGCGAATGGGGATCTCATAACAACTCTCAGCACCCTTAACAAACTTCAGCTCCCAGGATCCTTTTGTGGAAGCCTTGACTGTTTCTCATCAAATTTATGGTGTGGATGTGACTCTGGTGTATGAGAACTGTGTTGTACATTCTCATACAAAAACTCTAACAATCCCTTCCCTCTATTACAGCCTGAAAGCCTCTTAACGCAAGGCCTGGAGCATAATGGAAGCGTTATATTTTCCCTGAGTTTCCCCAAATGATGTCAATCTAGAGAACAGGAGGGTGATAAAGGAAGTGTTTTGTTGTTTACTCTTGGCCCTGAACAAGTCATACTATTTCAAAAACTAGAACTAATACATCCACCTACAAAAAACAGAAACCATCCTTTATAAGCTTGCAGAGGGTTCAAGCAAAAGCCCATCAGGCACAGGAAGTAAAAGCACATGCAGTTGTGGGTGGAGCTAATCAAATGGAAAACTCTGCCTGTTTCTTCTCTTTTACATTAGGGCAATGTATGTGCTTATATCAGCGGTTCCCAAAGAGGGCTGACTACCAGATTTTGAAAAGCTGGTATTGCTGGACCAAGTTCATCAATGTTGTTGAATTAATTAAACTCAATACTTTTCATTGGAATAAATATGCACCGTGGGTGGCACTGTGGGTTAAACCACAGAGCCTAGGACTTGCCGATCAGAAGGTCAGCGGTTCGAATCCCCGCGACGGGGTGAGCTATGTTGCTTGGTCCCTGCTCCTGCCAACCTAGCAGTTTGAAAGCATGTCAAAATGCAAGTAGGTAAATAGGTACCACTCTGGCGGAAAGGTAAACGGCGTTTCCGTGCGCTGCTCTGGTTCGCCAGAAGCGGCTTAGTCATACTGGCCACATGACCCAGAAGCTGTACGCCGGCTCCCTAGGCCAGTAAAGCGAGATGAGTGCCGCAACCCCAGAGTCGGTCAAGACTGGACCTAATGGTCAGGGGTCCCTTTACCTTTACCTATTGTTGGAATATTATTATATTATTATCTTCCTTAGTGGGTCGTGCAAACTGCTATTCAGAATAATACTTTTTATAGGCTAGGGGGGCACTGGGGATGAATTTATGGAACCAAGGAGACAGTGCAGCCCCCGCCCAAATTTGGGAAGAATTGCACTATACCTTTAAAGCACATTCAGAGCACATTCTTTATCTCAAAGAATTCTGGTAACTGTAGTCTGGTAAGGTTTAGGGAATTGTAACTGGGGTGGGTTTAAACTACAGGGCCCAGAATTCTTTGAGAGAAAGAACAGGCTTTGAATAGGCTTTAAAGATGCAGTGTGTCTATGGCATAGACTCTATGCACCAGCATGAAGAAACCTAAAGATGCAGGTGAGAGCTGGTGTAATGTAGTGGTTAGAACTATGCATGAGCAAGGTCTCAATGGTTAAAGCCTCGCCTCAGCACACTTCTGCAACATGGAGCAATAGTCCTGGCCTACTTTGCTACATGCTGAGAAATAGGACTATCATTTGGTTAAATGAATTTTAGCTGATTGAGTTTAGTTGATTAGATTTATGGAGTAGAGAAATCAGTGTACTGTATTTCACATTAATACTCCTATTCTATAAATATAAAAGGTAAAGGGACCCCTGACCGTTAAGTCCAGTCGCAGACGACTCTGGGGTTGTGGTGCTCATCTCGCGTTTACTGGTTGAGGGAACTGACATTTGTCCACAGACAGCGGTCATGTGGCCAGCATGACTAAGCTGCTTCTGGCGAACCAGCACACACAAATGCCTTTTACCTTCCCGCCAGAGTAGTACCTATTTATCTACTTGCACTTTGACGTGCTTTTGAACTGCTAGGTTGGCAGGAGTTGGGACACAGCAACGGGAGTTCACTCAGTTGCAGGGATTCAAACTGCCGACCTTCTGATCGGCAAGCCCTAGACTCTGTGGTTTAGACCACAGTGCCACCCGTGTCCCTCTAGAAAGATACTTTCTCTTAAATGAGTCGTCTTGATTTTGATGAAGTGAACTTCCAAGTAAGGATGCTTAGGATTTCAGCCTGGTTTTAAGTGCCAGCATAGCAGGGATGGACTCCAACACCTATTAGCCCTAGCCAGCTTGGCCAATGGCCTGAGATGTTGGGTGTTGTAGTTCAACAACTTCCTGAAGGCCATAGTTCCCCATCCCTGGAGCTCATGATTCAGTGATTTGCTACAATTTGTATGCAGAAAGTGCTTATCCTTGAAGTAAGCATGGGGTTCAGCAATGGGAGTGGGCAATTACTTGGGGGGAGCCTTCTTCCGCCTCACCCCATTCTGGCCCCGTTTGTGGAGGTTGCTTCTTCTACCGCAGTCCTCACCAGTATGAACAACCTCTGGTGAATGTGGAGGATGCAGCTTTCCTTTTAGTATTTTTCTTTTCTTTTCGAGAAAGTCCTGCATGCCTTCATATTCTTCTTCTTTGCAGGTTTAATTTCCGGGGTTACCGCTGGGTCAAAGCCATGATACACGCCATAAACGTCATAAACAAGGATGAGGATCTTCTGCCAGGCATCAAGCTGGGTTACCAGATCTACGACACATGCTATACAATGTCCAAGACGGTCGAGAACTCCTTGGCTTTCCTCACTGGGCAGAATGAAACAACCCCTGTGTTCCGATGCAGCACCGGTGCTCCTCTAGCAGCAGTCGTTGGAGCTGGTGGATCGACTCTTTCCATTGCATCCTCAAGAATCCTCGGGCTTTACTATTTCCCTCAGGTATCATGAATCCTGGAAAGCAGGGGTGCAGAACCTCAGGCCCAGGGACTGAATGCCTCCCTCTAGGCCTCTATATCTGGCCCTTGGGACTCTCTCCAGGCCACACCCCCTGTCCCAGGCCACACCCACCACTAGCTTTGCTTCTTACCTTCCTTGCGTGTTTCTGCCTGGCTGGACTGTGTCCTTGAACTCTGGTCATGCTTCTTGCTTGTCTGATGGAGGACAGAGAGGGATGTGTGAGTGTGTAGAAACTAGCCTATTGTACCAAGGTAAAAATTGTATTTGTTGCTCTATTGACTGTGGCCTGTGGCCCTGCCCAACATGTGGCCCCTGGAAGGTTGTGCAGAAGGAAATGTGGCTCTCAGGGTTTCCTGCTACTATAATGTTTTTACTGTAAAAAACCAACAGAAGGTCCTCTTCTGACATCAGAAGGACATGTTGTAGGGAAGGGGAAATTATGGTTTTCCAGGATTGCAATGCCCTTCAGTCGCAGTAAGCATGGTTGATGGTAAGGGATGTTGGGAGTTTGAGTCCAACAACATCTGGAAGGCCACAATCTTCCAATCCTTCATACACAGAAAACATGGGCAGCAGAACCAGGAATGGAGTCTTTATTCTCCAGAACAAACCACATTCCCTCTCTCTGGAAGTTTTGAAAGGTGTTATATAGAAAATAGCAGTGTATTAGAACTGCCAGCGAGTCCTGCTTCTTTACCTTGCCTTCCATTCTAGCTCATTCGTCCATTTCTCTAAATTGCCCATGGCTGAGCCTTGGCTTGAGGGTGAATAGGTTGGTCAATTCTCAACCCATGTGGCAACAGTCTGCACGATGCATTCTGCATTCTGCAAGGAATGGGGTGGCAGATTTTTGCAATTCGACATCCTGAGCAAAGTCCATAAAAATACTCTGAAATATGAGCCGGTACATTCTGAGCTTGAGTTACAAAAATCATGACTACTAAACAAACAAATACAGAGGAGCAAGTCTCATCCCTCTACAAAAGAGTTGAAGGAATGCTTTCTTCTTTTGAGTTCTAATTTGCTTTGCTATTATGAACTGTTTTGTGGAAAAATCTCTTTTGCAGCCTGAGCTGTGGCCCACTTGACCTTCCTGCAACTGTTGTATCATTTTCCTTCACATTGTCCTCTTTTTTTTGCATTTCTTATACATGCCCTTCTTAAAGGGCTGTAAGCTCTTTTTGCAGCCACATTGGTTTCTTTAGATGCCTCCCACTTCAATTTCTTGTTGGAACCATCTGTATTTGTGCCTTCAGTAGAAAGTTTAAGGAAATCCCATCCATCTTGGACTCCCCTCTCTTTGAGTATTTCTGACCATGGAATCTCACCCAGTATTTCATTAAGCTTTTTGAAATCAGTCTTCTTAAAGTCCAGAGTGCATGTGTAACTACACTCATCTTTCCCTTGCCTGTATACAATGAAACCCAGGAGGACATGATCACTTCCTCCCAAGGTTCCCAGTACTTTCACTTTGTCAATCAGTTCCTCCCTGTTGGTGGGAACTAGACCCAAGATAGATGATCCTCTTGTTGCTCCTTCCACTTTCTGGGAAATGAAATTGTGAGTGAGGCAATGGAGGAATTTGTTGGACCTTACATTCTTGGCAGAGTTTGTTTCAATAGATATTGGAGTAGTTGAAGTCTCCCATAAATAGTATATCTCTCCTTTTGAAGATTTGGTAGTCTGTCCTAGGAAGGCATCATCCAAGTCTTCACTCTGGCTTGGAGGTCTGTATCAGACACCCACAGTAAGTTTACTGTTGTTTATCTCTCCTACAATTTTTGCCCATATACTCTCAATCTGCTTTCCAAGCTCCAGGTCATGGATCTCTTCATAAATGGACACATCCTTTAAATATAATACTCCTCCTCTCTTCCTGTTTTGTCTATTCCTTTTGAACAGGTTATACCCCTCAATTTCTACATTACAATCATGAGTCTCATCCTACCAGGTTTTAGTAATGTCTGTTAAGTCATATTTGCCATCCTGTATTAAGATTAAAATTCTTCTTGCTTGTTTCCCATACTCTGTGCATTAGTATTGGGACAATTGAAACCATGAGTCATTCCCTTGAGCTGCTTCCCTTCTTGTAGTTTCTTGCCCTTTAGAAGGTTTATATAGCACCACCTCAGTTTCCTGTGCATCAAAGCTATTACCACCCCCCCCCCGTAGCAGGAGTTCCCCTGTCGTCTGTAATTGTGAACATAAAGTTAGAAAATATTAGTTTCAGGGATCAAAGTCAGGTTGGAGCACTGGTGAAAAATCTCATAAGGAGGGACAAGGCCAACTTTTGGAAGTAGGACCTGGTTAAGATAATTCTGGAGGCAGCGTTGATTACAGGCAAGGCTCTGAATCAAAGTGTCTGTCTCAAGGAAGCTAGATGGCATCCTGACAGATCCTAGCAAAATCAGCCTTCTTCTGTCCATAATCCTTCGTTTCAACAAGAACCAGCTACTTGAAGTGTGGGATTATTTCCCATCACCCTGCTGTTTCTTTGGCCCTTCTTTGGCTCAAGCGGTCTGTATTCCCAGTGCCCTCCTAGACTTAGATAATACATGTATGTTAGTTTCCCTCACCCTTGCCTGCCTCTTATTGACTTTTCTGCTGCTCCTTTAGTTCCTGGTCCTTAGCCACTTGGTCATAGGAAGAGAACACTATTTGTCCATTTAGATCAGTGTTGTCTACTCTGACTGGCAATAATACTCCAGGGTCTAAGGCAAAGGTATTTCCCATAATCTGCTACCTGATGTCCTTTGAACTGGAGATGACATGAACTGCACTTGACATGTCTTGCATGCAAATCACATTCTACTAATGAACTGTAGTCCCTCCTGTTAGCCTCCATTGCTCTCAGTCAACAGAGATGTCCATTAGTAGCAAACGGCTGAGAGAAAACAGTAGCGCACGGGACAGCAACATTCGCCTCAACCTTGCTTGTTTTTCTCTCTTTTTCTTTTAGGTTGGCTATGCCTCCTCTTCTTTACTTCTCACTGATAAGTACCAGTTCCCTACCTATCTTCGCACTATTCCAAGCGACGCTGTACAGTCTAAGGGAATGGCAGACTTAGTTCACCATTTTGGCTGGAGATGGATAGGCACAATAGCAGCTGACGATGATTATGGCAAATACGGCGTCAAAGCTTTTAAAGAAAAAGTGGAGAACACCTATACCTGTATTGCTTTCTCAGAAACAATCCCCAAAATTTACTCCAGGGAAAAGCTAAAAAAAGTTGTTGAAGCTATAAAAAACAGCACTGCTACGGTAATTGTGGTCTACTCATCTGATATTGACTTCCATCCTTTACTGGAAGAGATGATGGTTAGCAACATCAGTAGTAAAACCTGGATAGCAAGTGAAGCATGGGTCACATCAGCCTTAATCGCTAGGCCTGAATATTTCCCCCTCCTTGGTGGGGCTATTGGTTTTGGTGTACGAAAGGGTGACATACCAGGCCTCAAAGAATTTCTTCTCGACGTACGTCCAGGTGAAGATCCTGAGGATGACATGGCAATTGAATTTTGGCAGTCTGCGTTCAACTGCACTTGGCCGAATGCCAACATATCGTATAATACAGACAACAGAAAAAATGTAACTGGCCATGAGAACAGAGTCAATTTTGCTTCGGATGTTTTGTGCACAGGAAAGGAGAATCTTGCAGAACTTAACAATACCTACCTGGATGTTTCAGAACTTAGGATAACTTATAATGTCTACAAGGCTGTATATGCTGTTGCTTATGGCCTTGAGCAATTACGCACCTGTGAACCAGGACATGGACCATTTTCATCCGGCCCTGACTGTACCAAGATAGATGAGTTTGAGCCCTGGCAGGTAGGCACCAATTTATTAATTTATTTCAGACATATAACAACAACATACATATACATAATAACATAATTCATCCTAACCCAGAAGCTGGTGTTTAAGCAATAGATAAAAAAGAACAATCAAATAACATAAGTTATTATTCACAGACTACAATTTATACAGAAGCCGATAAACAGTTTAAGTTAACCAAAATTTTTTATAATGTAGGGGCATTTATGTATGTTTTTAGCCATATACATAATAAAGCTGGGACGCGGGTGGCGCTGTGGGTAAAAGCCTCAGCGCCTAGGGCTTTGCCGATCGAAAGGTCGGCGGTTCGAATCCCCGTGGCGGGGTGCGCTCCCATTGCTCGGTCCCAGCGCCTGCCAACCTAGCAGTTCGAAAGCACCCCCGGGTGCAAGTAGATAAATAGGGACCGCTTTCTAGCGGGAAGGTAAACGGCGTTTCCGTGTGCGGCTCTGGCTCACCAAAGCAGCGATGTCACACTGGCCACGTGACCCGGAAGTGTCTTCGGACAGCGCTGGCCCCCGGCCTCTTGAGTGAGATGGGCGCACAACCCCAGAGTCTGGCAAGACTGGCCCGTACGGCAGGGGTACCTTTACCTTTACCTTTATAATAGAGCTGTGCCATTCAATCCCCAAGTACAGTGGTACCTCAGGTTACAGACGCTTCAGGTTACAGACTCCGCTAACCCAGAAATAGTACCTCGGGTTAAGAACTTTGCTTCAGGATGAGAACAGAAATTGTGCAGCGGCAGCGGGAGGCCCCATTAGCTAAAGTGGTGCTTCAGGTTAAGAACAGTTTCAGGTTAAGAACGGACCTCCAGAATGAATTAAGTTCTTAACCCAAGGTACCACTGTAGTATTCATGCTTCAGGCCTTGCCACCAATTTTATTTTATTGTTTAATTTTCCCACAAGTGCTATTCGCCATACTTTGTTTTACCAATTTGTCCTTGAAACACCCCTTTAAATTCTTCTGGTATCTCATTATTATGAGCCTGGCTTCTAGTAGAAGATAACTGATTAAAGGTTTAGACTGTAAGGTTAATATTGTCTCTCTTGAAAAGATTGAGAGACCCAGCCCTGGACATTTAGAGACATTTTGTCCAGTAATTTGCTTTTATTTGGACAAATATTTTCTCCCAGAACTGAGCCACAGTCCCACATGTCCACCACTGTTGTAAGTTTTGCTAAAGATAGATATAATGTATAACATTCTTTTGGGCCTCTTACCAATATAATGCTCCCTCTTTTGACCCCCATTCTCTTTGGGGGAACCTTACAATTCACCGCCCCCCCAAAATGTTTTCCCAAGTTGACCCGCTGACAGCTACTGTTTGAATAAATTGATGTATGCCTTTGACTTGCTGCAGTTAAAACAATGAAAACTCTTGTAGAACATTAAATTATTATAGCATAAGCTTTTGCAGACTACAGTCCACTTAGTCAGTATTATCCTGAGTTACAGATCAGAAGGAAATAAATGCAGAAAAATGCAGGCAGCATTATTAAGTGTAGCCGTTCCATGAAAAGCAGTTTGTTGATGACACAGACATCCTAGCACCAGGAAACCAATGGACACATGTTTCATGAGAAATCTCACTGAATTTTGCATAAAGGTAAAGGTAAAGGGACCCCTGACCATTAGGTCCAGTCGTGACCAACTCTGGGGTTGGCTGAGGGAGCCGGCGTACAGCTTCCGGGTCATGTGGCCAGCATGACGAAGCTGCTTCTGGTGAACCAGAGCAGCGCATGGAAACGCTGTTTATCTTTCCGCCGGAGCGGTACCTATGTATCTACTTTCACTTTGTGCTTTCGAACTGCTAGGTTGGCAGGAGCAGGGACCGAGCAACAGGAGCTCACCCCGTCATGGGGATTTGAACCGCCGACCTTCTGATCAGCAAGTCCTAGGCTCTGTGGTTTAACTCACAGTGCCACCCGCGTCCCGAATTTGCATCCCTCCACTTAAATCCACATTGGACTCATAGGCTGTGACTTCTCTCAAATGCTATTGTAGGAATAGATGTTCTCATGTGCCTCATATAGTAGGCTGCTGTTCTTCAAGCATAAATAAACTCTCTTAGCTGGTATTGCAAGCCCCATCCTTCCTGAAATCTGGACCCCCCTTCAAGCAAGCAGAGAGGCAACAGAATTGACGCACCTTTAACAGTCCACTCCATAGTGCACTGCCAGGCAAAAGAAAACTGTTGTGGATACAGGAGAATCAAAATCTTCTGTACAAGACCTTCTGTACAAGATGTTCTGCATGACAAAAGAGAATTGTTGCATTCTCCATATTTCCGTAGTAGTTTGTATATTTTTTTAAAGTCCTTGTGAAAAATCACTAGCGTTTTAGTGTGACTTTCCCCTAATATACACATTTATGCAAAGCAATTTTTGCAAATGTAAATTTAAGAGAAGCATTCTAATGCACACTGTACTCTACAGTATACATTTTTGTGCAGATATTACTTGGCCGGAGAACTACATTGTGAAATTCATAGAAATGCAAATTTCAAAAGAGGGCTGTGTTTCAGTTTGGGTACTGTTTCAGAAAGTGCAAATTAGGCAGGTTCACTTTTATTGTAAACTGAACTGAATATATCCCTCATCTCTACATACATACATGCATACATACAGTGGTACCTCTGGTTACGAACTTAATTCGTTCTGGAGGTCTGTTCTTAACCTGAAACTGTTCATAACCTGAGGTACCACTTTAGCTAATGGGGCCTCCTGCTGCCGCACAATTTTTTTCTCATCCTGAGGTAAAGTTCTTAACCCGAGGTACTACTTCTGGAGTCTGTAACCCGAAGTGTTTGTAACCCGAGGTGTTTGTAACCTGAGGTACCACTGTACAAACACACAAACACAATCAAATGCACAAAGCCATTTCCCATGAAAACAAAGCGTGGTCTTTAGAACGGACCCCAGAATCCTTTGCAGGCATTTGTCGGCTAATAAATCTCATACATTTCTACAAAGACAAGAGGTGGCATTAAAAGGTTTGTGCAAACCAAACCTAATAAGAACACAGAAAGCAAGTAGTAATATTGCCTGGGACACAGAAGACATCATTCATAGATTAAGGACTGTATTCAAGGAAGGTGTCCCATTTGCACAATGACTTAATGGCTCAGCAACAAACAAGGGTGAAGACTTGCCCCCCCCATTGCGGGGGCATGTCACATGGCAGGTCACGTGACGTGTCCCGCCCCTACCTAGTGGGCTGGGTCACAGGGACATCCTGCCACTGTGATGCTGGCGCTTGTGTGCTGGGTGGGGATGCAAAGCAACGAGCTGGGCTCTGGGCTCAGCTTCCTCTTGCCTGTGTGACATTAGCCGGAAGGTGGAGGTGGAGCAGGGCTGCTGGGCTCCACATTCTGCCTCCTCCCCCCTCATGCAATATCAGTGGGGTGGAGGAGTGGGACCACAGGATTTTGGGGGAGCCTAGCTCCCTCCTTGAAAAGTGGGAGGGGGCCTGAAGACCCCTAAGCCCCCACCACCTGGTGCACCTGGTAAAAAAAAAGTTTCCCCTACCACTTCCCTCCACCTCCCAAATCTGTTCTGGGACTTGCCTGAACCTTCTGGAGCAGATTGGAGGGGGTGCGTGGAGAAAGGAGAGGGGAGGGAAACCCCATTTTGCAAACAAAACTCCTTGTGCAAATGGGGCGACTTCCTTTGATAGAACACCTAAGTTTGCCTGTGTATTGAAAGTCCCTAATAATAATAATAATAATAATAATAATAATAAATTTATTTATATCCTGCCCTCCCAGCTGAAGCCGGGCTCAGAGCAGCTCACAACAATAAAAGTAACACAGCATTCTAAAATCAATTCATTCTAAAATCAATTCAAAATCAAATTAATGGCAACCATTGGGCTAGAGTTCTGTGAGGATTACCAAAGGAGGGGGTCAGACTGTGCCTTGGCCAAAGGCTCTGTCTTGCAGGCCCTGTTATAAACAGAAGAGCCTAAAAAATCAGATCAGAAGGACACAAAAGCACATCTTTGGCATTTCCAAAAGCTGGGGCAATCGCTGAAAAAGCCCCATAGGGAAGGAACCTGGATCAGGATTCTCAAAGATGACCTTACCATATGGGGAAAGGTGCTTTCTGTCAGTCTTTGGCCATGGAGGAGGTTTAAAACAGGAACCTCAGTGCTGAAATGGCCACCAATAATAATATAATAATAATTTATTATTTATACCCTGCCCATCTGGCTGAGTTTCCCCAGCCACTCTGGGCAGCTTCCAATCAAGTGTTAAAAACAATACAGCATTAAATATTTAAAACTTCCCAGCAGGGCTGCCTTCAGATGTTTTTTAAAGAGAAGATAGCTGCTTATTTCCTTCACATCTGAAGGGTGGGCGCCACTACCGAGAAACCCCTCTGTCTGGTTCCCTGTAACCTCACTTCTTGCAATGAGAGAACTGCCAGAAGGCCCTCGGCGCTGGATCTCAGTGTCCGGGCTGAACAATGGGTGTGGGTGTGGAGACGCTCCTTCAGGTATACAGGACCATGTGCCGCCCTGCCCTAGCTTAATCTCCTAATGCATTTTCAAGAGCAGCTCCTGTGGAGTGCCACCACAGTAGCTAATCCTTGAGGTTGCAAATAGTTAACGAGCTATTTATAGAGGGACATAGCCAACAAACTTGATGCAATGGGGGGAAATGCCAGCTTTCTGTTCAACAGTAGCAACAGAACCAGGTGGATGTGCTGGTGCATCCCTGCTCTGGCAGGACAGGTCATCCTGAAAAACAGTTGACTCAAATACAGACAGAAAACATTTAGTCAATGTTCTGCAAATATCCAAGAACAGAGAGGATCTCTTGAGAGTGTGTGGCATCACAGTGCACATATGGGGTGGAGTGGGGCACTTCAATAACCTGACCCGAAGCCAGGGATGAAAAACAGATACCTTCCTGATTTTGTATTTATTTACTGAAATTCCCAGCAGTTCATGCGAGCAGGGTTGTGGCTAGGCATGATGGGAGCTATTGTCCAGAAACTTCTTCTTTTGGGGGGTGGGCATGGGGAGAGGGATGGTCACAGGTTCCCCACTTTTATCCTAAACCTTTCAAAACAGTAGGTAAAGGTAAAGGGACCCCTGACCATTAGGTCCAGTCACGGACGACTCTGGGGTTGCGGTGCTCATCTCGCTTTATTGGCCAGCATGACTAAGCCGCTTCTGAAGAACCAGAGCAGCGCACAGAAACGCTGTTTTACCTTCCCGCCAGAGCGGTACCTATTTATCCACTTGCACTTTGACGTGCTTTTGAACTGCTAGGTTGGCAGGAGCTGGGACTGAGCAATGGGAGCTCACCCCATCACGGGGGATTGGAACCGCTGACCTTCTGATCGGCAAGTCCTAGGCTCTGTGGTTTAACCCACAGCGCCACCCGCATCCCTTTCAAAACAGTAGAAGTTAGTACTATTATTTGATACTGAGCCTGGAAATGAATTGGTAACCACAGGGCCACTGATTCGAACCCTACTCGCCTGCCCATCCCACAGGTACACATATCCAAGAATTCTGGCGCCTGGATTTTACAGAAGCTGAAGTGTTCAGCCCCTGTAAAGGGCAGCCCCTTGCTCAGAGTATTACAGTCATCCAGTCTGGATGTAGGTTTGACACATCCTTACTTTTGTCTCCTGATTTGTAGCTAATGTACTACATGAAGAATAGAATGACATTTTCGGTTCTTGGAGAGGACGTACACATAGATGATAAGGGAGATGTGTATACTTCATATGACATTCTAAACTGGCAAAAAGGTGAGAATGGCGAAGTTGCCTTTGTGCCTGTTGGAACATTTAACATGACGTCGGAAACCGATATGGAATTTCATATCCAGAACGACTCAATATTTTGGAATAATCCAGCAGGAGCAGTAAGTGAATTGCATTTTCTATGCCTTCCTCTAGTTCAGTCATTTCCAAAAAGGGTGGTCCCCCCCCCGGGGTGTGTGGAATTACCTGGGAGGGGGGTTGCTAAGAAGCAAGTGTGTGGCAAGGGGAAAGCTGGTATCAGTGGATGAAGTTCATCACTTTGGTTGAATTAATTAAGCTAAATCGTTTTAATTGAATTTCAAATATGTTAAATGTGAAATTAACTGTTACTGTTTTGAATTTTAATGTGTTATCTTCTTTAAATTGGGTCACTACAAATCACTATTCTGAATACTGCTTTTTATGGAGTAGGGGGCACTGGGAATGACCTTAATGGAACCAAGCAAGAGTGTGTGGGCCCATAAAGTTTGTGGACCACTGTTCTAGTTTAACCATCCATGCTACTACAATCACACAAATTTCACAGGAATAATAAATAATAATTATTATTGTACCCCCACCCATCTGGGCACTCCCACCCAGCCACTCTGGGACCTCCCAACAGAATAGTAAAACACAATGAAGCACCAAACATTAAAAACTTCCCTAAAACAGGGCTTGCCCTTTGGATTCTCCAAAAGTTCACGATGAGTTGTTTATTCCCTTGACCATACTATTCTTATATGTATGGTTTCCATACAGTAGTTCATAGACTTTCACATCCTTCAGTGGGTTTCTCCATATTTCCTTCTAGATTGAACAACCCCAATGGACATTAATAATATATATAATAATAAAAATAATAATAATAATAATAATAATAATAATAATATCTTTAATTGTCAGTTGCCCCTTTGGGGCAACAAATTACTTAGACTGCTCCATAAAAAACACTAACTAAACCAATACAGTATAATGCAGGCAAAGGGAGATTAGATGACTTTCAAAGTCCGAGGGCCTTCCCATTCAGGGCCCGAGATCGCTCTGGAGAAGAAGCTGTTCTTAAGACGGCCTCGTTCTTGTCTTCATCGTCCTGTAATCTCCGCACAGTGACCGGATGCGATGGATCTTTTACTATGTCCAGTGCCTTTCCTATGGGCAACCTTGTGGCATAAATCTGCTCTAAGGTGGAGAGTGGGCAGCATAAATAAAGTGAATTTCAGAAGAAATTTATATGATTTCCCTTGAGAGTCCATGTGGCAACTGGTGGGATTTCCACCTGTCTCTTTTTGTTTGTTTGTCTGTCTGTTTGTAAAGTTTGTTTGTTATAATCAATCTGGCTGTTTGTAGTAACCCTAATTTTAAAACAAGTCTAACAATTGCTCTTTGAGGAACCAGAATAAAAGGGGCTCAAGCCTACCTAGTATGCACAATATTGGGTTTGGATCCAGGTTCACATCCCATGCTAGCCATGGGGCTCATTTTCACTGCTGTTGCTGGAAATCCAGAGCCCAGCACTGCCCGTGCCCTTTGCATGACAGCCAAAGTTGCATGTGCAACAGGGCCTGACAGCTGGAAGTCCGTGAGCAGATTGTGTGAGATTTTCAGAAAACCTGTGGTTGCCTCTGAGTTTCCTCCTCCAGGGGGCAAATAGCAGCTGGGGCCAGGATGTTCATTCGGAAAACAGCCTGGAGAAGAAGGGCAAACACCAACATGCCATCACTGTCCCTGTGTGATTCTCTCCCCCCCCCCCCACTCCTGCTGCTATTTCAATTAAAAACAACTGCAGTAAATTCACCGACAGATCTTCCATCACCAGTGTCACATCTATCTGTGTCCCTTGATAAAACACACTTCATTTTACTCTCAGGACTCTTCACACACCCTTTCCTTCTAGATTAACACCACAATGCTATGGATTCTGGCTACTGTTTTCAAACCACAAGTGAGGAAGTGTCATGTTAGGGCTTGTTCTTGTGGCATCTGCAGCAACAAGGAGCCTGCAATGACTTGTTATCTCGCCCTGGAAGATTCTGGCTATGAAAGTCCCATAATATCTCCGATGGAGACATAATGCCCTCTTTCCACACCTCCTTTGAATAGACTTTTCAAGTGTCTACACAAGCAAACACACACACACACATTTTGTTGGACGTACCATAGCTCAGTGTTAGAGCACCTGCTTTGCATGATGAAGGTGTCAGGTTCAAGCCCTGGTTTTGGTGTTGGCAATGCTGCCAGTGTGAACAAAACTCCCCCCCCCTATATATATATATATATATATATATATATATATATATATATATATATATGAATTTGTATGTTACATCACAAAATTAAAAAGAAAATATGCCACCCACCTGTTAACAAAAATACATTATATAAAAAGTAAAATGTTACTATGAAATAAATGTTACGTATACAGTGGCACCTCGGGTTAAGTACGTAATTCTTTCCGGAGGTCCGTTCTTAACCTGAAACTGTTCTTAACCTGAAGCACCACTTTAGCTAATGGGGCCTCCTGCTGCCGCCGTGCCGCCAGAGCACGATTTCTGTTCTCAACCTGAAGCAAAGTTCTTAACCTGAAGCACTATTTCTGGGTTAGCGGAGTTTGTAACCTGAAGCGAATGTAACCTGAAGCGTATGTAACCCGAGGTACCACTGTACATAAAATAAGGTTCTTCCATCCTTTAAGACTCCAGTCTCTTTCAGCGTGGGTCCCTCATTTTCTCAACACCTGCATTTGTGATAACAATTAACTTAAGATATATTGTCTGTTTTCTTTATACCATATTATATTGCAAGAGTGAGTCAAAGCATGTTAAAGGTTTCATATGGGAACAATGTTCTATTAAGTTTACAGTTTACCTCAGTTTACGAACTTAATCCATTCCGGAAGTCCATTCTTAAACCAATACCGTTCTTAAACCGAGGAGTGCTTTCTCTAATGAGACCTCCTGCTGCCAGTGCCCTTCCACCAATCGGATTCCATTCTTAGACCGAGGTAAAGTTCTCAAACCGGGACACTACTTCCGGTTTTGCAGAGTTCTTAAACCGAATCATTCGTAAACAGGACTGTTCTCAAACCGAGGTACCACTGTAATTATCCCATTCTTAACTGAACTGGTGTGTTGTTTGGTTCCGAATTCTCCCTGTCAATTTTGCGAGTTCTGCATATACAAACGTTTTCACCTGCCATTCTTCTTTTTGCCAGTGTGGACAAAACTGAGTTTAGCTGGGCCAATGGTTTGACTCAGTATTAGGGTTGCCATATTTTGAAGAGCAAGAAAGGGAACACGTTTGCCAACTTCCACTTTTAACTATGGATCTCTTTGACGGCTCTAATTTTAGATACCCCTACCATATGTAGGCTATAGAAGCTGTTATATATTCTAGTAGCAATGTTCTAAGCGTTCAACAACAACAAAAACATAATAATAATACATATTGCTCCCTCACTTGCCACATGAAAGTATTTGGGCTCATGTTCACATCTTTGTGAATGTAAGTATGCTTACAATTTTGTGAACAGAACAATTTATTAAACTGTTTAACATGTACGGGACTCTACTTAAGGGCAGGGGGATGTTAACTCTTGCCCTCCCAGACTCCTCCTCCAAGATCTTGTAGCTGAGCCAGTGTCCTTTTAGTTCAGCCACAAGAGACGGGATTTATACAGTGTGTAACAAGTTAAGATGCTGCTCTGTTGTGATTCTCTGCTGCTGACTAGCTTAGCTGGGTGCCTTAGATCTGAGACCAATGCACTAGAATATTTTTCTTGGGCTACTGTAAAACAAAAAACAACCCCCCCTGTCATTTTGCCAAATTTAAAAAATCCACCCGGACAGAAATTTTTATCCTGGAAAGGAGGACATGCCCTGAAAAAAGAGGACATATGGCAACCCCAGTCAACATAAAGCAGATTTCTATATTTCCCAATCCAAACTGCCTTGCAGAACTTGACTGTGCACATATATTGCATATATTACTACTTATCATACTTAGCTGCTGCTCTAAAGTCTTGCAGATAGCAGGGGAAGTGGTAAGGGGTGACCCACGGGCCCGAGCCATGAATCTACTGCACCCTTCCTTTATTATTATTATTATTATTATTATTATTATTATTATTATTGCTCACAAGACAACTGGGCTCGCTGCAAGGTGCAATGCCAATGAGACCACACAACTACCCACCATTTAAATTTGTTCAATGGTACCAATATGTATTAGGGATGTGGGTGGTGCTGTGTTCTAAACCACTGCGCCTAGGACTTGCTGATCAGAAGGTCGGCGGTTCGAATCCGTGCAACGAGGTGAGCTCCCATTGTTTGGTCCCAGCTCCTGCCCACCTAGCAGTTCAAAAGCACATCAAAGTGCAAGTAGATAAATAGGTACCACTCTGGCGGGAAGGTAAACGGTGTTCTAGTTCGCCAGAAGCAGCTTAGTCATGCTGGCCACATGATCTGGAAGCTGTCTGCAGACAAACACCGGCTCCCTCAGCCTATAGAGCGAGATGAGCACCACAACCCCAGAGTTGTGGACGACTGGACCCAATGGTCAGGGGTACCTTTACCTTTACTGATATGTATTAATTGGCATGCACTTTTGTCTCATGGACCTGTTTCCCAGGTCCAAAAGGTGCCTAGCAATGTTCCTGGTTGAGAATCTCCTTGAGAGCTACCTAACAAGGCTCTCATTCAGGTGCATTGCTAGGCACCTAATGAACTCGGGACACATGGATGTGATTGTAGCTGAGTAAAAATGGCCTCCCAAGTTCTCCACCATTTTTGTATCCTGAGGGATTCTCCAAGGGCAGGCGAAATCCCCCAACAGTTTGTTGAGGGTGTCCATTAGCAATGGCACCAGCATGACTTCTCACTTCCTCCCTCCCCTTGCCGTCAAATATTTCAGCATTAGCAGCAACTGTTGTGGGCAGCCTGCCATTTTGTATCTCCACAAAAGGCCTAGCATCATTCCAAGTCACTGAGGAGGGGGAAATATAACAGCCACAATAGTCACCTCCTTGTTGCATGGCAAAAACAGATACATGGGAGAAATAACAGGTCTTTTCTGTGCCTTTCAGCGTCCACGCTCCACATGCAATCTGAACTGCCAACCTGGTTATCGGAAGGGGATCCTGCAAGGAAAGCCCTCATGCTGTTATGATTGTATAAGGTGTGCCGAAGGACAGATCAGTAATATAACAGGTATGGATGCCTATCAGCATTTTAGCCAATGGGGGAAAAGAGGACATTTGTCTAGACCCAGGATGGGGAACATGAGACCTTCTAGATGTCAATGGACCACCACCATCCCTCAGCATTGGCCATGCTGGCTGGGGCTGGTGGAAGCTGAAGTCTAACAGCTTTTTTGGGGGGGGTGGCTCCCCATCCTTGGCGTAGACTCTAGAGAGCTGAAAATTAACTCAAGTCCAAGTCTTGCATTGGGCTCAAACTGGAATCCTATATTCCACTACAGTTGTAGTTTCTCTTTCCTTCCTTTTCTTCTGGCTTCATTGCAATAGGGGAGGAAGAGAGTATGAGCTGAAGATTGGATAGGACAGATTGAGAGGACTGTGAATAAAGGAAGTTTGTCACTTGGCAGGAGAATATCTGAGGTCTAATTCTCATTGGCCTTTTTTGTACTTGAGTACTGAATGTCTGCACGAGCACTATTCAGGCACTAGCACCAACAGCTGCAAAGTGTGCATTCACATCTTTCAGTACTGTGTGCTTTAATTACATGGAAACTCTGAGCTGAAGAAATGGAAAGGATCAATCATGGGGGGAGGACTTCTAAGTAGGCAATAGAGCTCTTTCTTTGGATTTCTTTTTGGGGACACACACACACACACACACACACACTTAATGTTTTAAATTATTTCCCCCCTTATCCTTTGATCTTTTTTTTAGAGCGGACACTTTATATCAAAATTTTGCCTGAAAGGTGGCGAGGGCCATGGCTGGCACCACAAAGTTGATGGTGATGGCATTATGCTTTTCTTTAAAATACAGTTATGCTTGCTTAAAGAAATAAATTGGGTTGTTGCACAGTTAAGGAAATCCTGGAAAATGAATCAAAGGTGCTTTTGTCAATTGACTGAATGAATTGCATCTGCTAGAATGTGTATATTGGAGTGGGGGAAGAAACATTAGTTCTGAAGAGGGGAAATCCTTGGGAGAGATCCAACTGTTGGAATCGGATTGGACCCCTTCAAACAAATGGTCTCAAGTTCATTGATTTAAGTGGGCTTACTCTGAGTATGCCTAAAACACCCCTGGTGTTTTTGATGGTGCACACATTTGCTGCAGGAGGGAATGCTTCCTTAAAGACAGTGCTCGACGCAGGTAGTTTCTCTATGTTCTTGGATATAGGCTGACTTCTGAGTATATATGTATAGAACCGCACTATTAATGTTATAGGTCGACCTTTCTCAAACTTGGGTCCCCAGACATTGTTGAACTATAACTCCCATCTTCCCTAGCCAGCAGGACTGGTGGTCATGGATGATGAGAGTTGTAGTCCAACAACGTGTGGAGAAACCAAGGTTGAGAATGGCTGTTATAGTTCTAGATATTAAACTACTGCAGGTCACCTTAGAACCACATATATTAAAATACACCATAGCTGAGTGGGGACTTGAACTAGGGCCTCCCCTCTCCTAAGATGGCACTCTAACCACTATGTCACTCTGGGTCCCATGTGCCCTCAGTTTGAATCTTTCCGGTCCTATAGCTGTTGAGTTTGTTTTTAGGGCTGCTGAGCGATCTTGTCATCAGTCAATGGAGGCTGAATGGAGGGTGAATGGGGCCCCTCTTGCAACCTCAGCCTGTCCTCACCTTGCAGCTTACAACTAGTTAAGGGGTGGCTTTGCTTGTGATTGCCCATATCTCCTGGTTGCCTCGTCTTCCACTCTACAGCAGTGGCTAGTGCTCATTAGAACTGGTAATCAGTCACTTATTGGATTTCAGTTTGCTGCTCATGACCACAGGTTCCTGGCGAATGTCACACAGTAGATCCTGGTTATCCTAATAGTCTTTGACTATGACCCACCCTTAACTTCTGTCTAACCTGGAAGGCTATCCTCTAATTTGCAACGTGTGAAAAACTCTCTGGGGTTGCTTAGCAGTGAGAAAAATGCATCCTGTGTTCATGGGTACATTTTAAACCATTCTGGACAAAAATCAGAAGGGAAACTAAGGCACATTTTACCTTTTACACACACTCACCTTTCTGTGTTCTCCATCCAGACAAGGAAAAAAGGCACCATAATCATAGAGTTGGAAGGGACCCTGAGGATCATCTGGTCCAACCCCCTGCAATGCAGGAATATGCAGTTGTCCCACACAGGGATCAAACCTGCAACCTTGGCATTATCAGCACCACGCTCTAACCAACTGAGCTATCCAGGCATTAGTAGAGGGCACATTCCACTCAGGCTTAGGGTGTGAAGCAGGGGCAGAGAGGGGGGTGGCCTGGGAGAATTCCAAGAACCAGATAAAGAGAGAGGCTTGAGGCTCCCCTATGGCCTTTTTTTTTAACAATTAGTTTCGGGTTTCTTTCTTCTCCAGATGCAAGGGAATGCACAGGCTGCGAGGAAGATTACTGGTCCAACAACGAGAGAAATAAATGTGTGCTTAAGGAGGTGGAGTACTTGGCTTACGAAGATGCTTTAGGGATAACACTGATTGTGCTGTCTGTGTTTGGGGCTCTTGTCGTCCTGTCAGTGACTGGCGTATATATCAAGTTTAGGAACACAGCTCTCGTGAAAGCCAACGACCGGGAGCTGAGCTTCCTCATTCAGTTTTCTCTCGTCGGAACCTTGATGACTTCTATCCTCTTCATTGGTAAGCCAGAAGACTGGTCCTGCATGTCCCGGCAGGTGACCTTAGCCTTGGGTTTTTCCGTCTGCCTGTCTTGCGTCCTGGGAAAGACAGTGACGCTCTGCCTGACACAGCTGGCCATGAACTCAAAGGTTGCTGAGAAAGCGCGGATGTTGGTGAAGCCGATTTGCCAAAAGATCATTGTCCTCAACTCTGTCCTTACCCAAGTGGGCATCGTCTGTGCCTACCTGATACTGAATCCTCCTCGCATGTACAAGAACACCCAGTTCTCCATCACAAAAATCATTTACGAATGCAACGAAGGCTCCATCCTGTACTTGTGTGTCATGTTTGGCTTTGACGTCTTCCTCGCTATCCTGAGCTTCCTCACGGCCTTTGTGGCTCGCAAGCTGCCCAATAACTTTAACGAAGCCAAGTTCGTCACCTTCGGGATGTTGGTCTTCTTCATCGTATGGATATCGTTTGTGCCCGCTTATTTAAGCACACGAGGGAAGTTCAAAGTGGCCGTGGAGATCTTCGCCATCCTGGCTTCCAGCTTTGGTTTGCTGGGGTGCATATTCGTGCCGAAATGTTACATTATCTTGCTGAAACCTTTAAGAAACACAGAAGAAATCGTAGGCGGAAGAGCGGCCACCAACGACAAGAGCGCACCGCCAACTTCTGCCTCGTGCACCAGTGAAGTTAACAACACTACTGTCTCTACGGTTCTTGAAGATTAGAACTTTTAAAGCTTTCGCCTGTCACCACTTCCACTAGTTTATTTGCACACGTTTTCCCATCTCTATGCTGAGAGAAAGAAGATGCCTTACCAAAGTCCCCCCCCCTTCTGCTTGTTGGGGAATAATAGCACAAATAAAGCATAGCTGATTGCTTGCTGAGAAAATAACAGGAGGAGCTTTGTATTTTCACAACGACATATAATAGCTTGGATCCAACCCTCTGCAAGTGGAAAGAAATTTCTGCTCACACAAGGGAAGGGGCCACAGGTGCTCACCACCAGCAGCGGCTGCAGCCTCCCCAGCTACGTAGTTCAGGAGGGTTCCTTCTCTCTGGAGAGGCTTTCTGGTGTGTGAGTTTATGGAGGAGGCAGCAGGAAGGAGAAGATGGGAAGACTCATGGTTCCTAGGATCCAGCCCCTACGATTCCACCTATAATAGGCCAGCCATTCAAAACCATGCAATCAGTGACTTTTCCATGTAAAAACCAACCCTCTCAGCATAGGATCAACTAACTGCATGAGAGTGCCTCTGATATTTTCCAATAAATCAAATTATTTACAACTTGCTTCATGCTATTTTATGGTTATGGGGAGGCGATCTAATTAGTGCGAAACAAAGTGGCATGATTGTTTCTCACGACCTAGGAACTATGGCGCTTTTAATACAGCCTAAAATTGCTTTAGTCTAGAGGTAGCCAACATGGTGTCCTCCAGATGTTATGGACTACAGCTCCCATCATTCCTGCCCAGTGGCCATGCTGGTTGGGACTGATGGGAGTTGTAGTCCAAAACTTCTGGAAGGTACCAAGTTGGCCACGATTGCATTAGCTATCCATGTACTATCACAGAGCTGCTGCTCTTCCCGAAGATGCACAAACTATAGGAAAGGAACATAGCTCAGCAGAAGAGCATCTGTCTTGCATGCAGAAGGTCCGAAATTCAATCCCTGGCATCTCAGGTAGGACTGGGAGAGAGACTCTGGTCTGAAGCCCTGGAGAGCCACTGCCAGTCCGTGTGGACAGAACTGAGCTAGATAGTATTAGAAATTTCAGCTCCGGTCGTCTGAGCTGATATGGCTCATCTTCCTTTGAGCCCAGCAGAGCATTGAAACAACAAAGTCCACAACGGAAGGATGAGATAGTATGGTGCTACATTGCTATGCTTTATTACTAAGCTATGCAGAGAGCAAAGAAATATACATCTTCTCTCTATGAGAAGCAGAGAGCAACTGAACAAAGAAACAAAATAACAAAGGAAACAGGAAACCAGGAAACGTCACATCCCGTCTCCCTTTCCCGTGAGAATCCAACAGTATCTGGACTGTGGAATGTAAACAGTCCTGTGACTGCAAGCAGCTGCTCAGTGAGGAAACAGAAACTAACAGATAGACCAATGGTCTGACTCGGTATAAGGCAGCTTCCTATGTTCCTAATTAGTCAGGTAAATTGGTTGCCATGTTCACAAAATGCATGGGCTTCCAGTATGAGCAGGCCAAGAAATTTGTGCTTGTTGCAGCTGGCCCCTTGCTGACTAAAGAAAATGGGCTTGTAGAAGAATTCCCCCAAAACTGATTGTGCAAAATGACTTATCGTTCAAGATGCATTTTAGAAAATATGGGGATAAATGTCCTGCTCTAAAAAGAGAGAGTGTTTTGGCAGAGCCACAGAGCCACCCTCCTAAGGCCAGTGGCGCTGCTGCTTACCTGGGTTCAACTAAGCTGGGATGGCAGTGGGCTCAGGACCCCACGGCTGCAACACTGGGTGTGCTGCTGCCAACCTGCAGCTCCCATCAATGCAACAGTGTAGTTCCAACCTTGTTACACCCCCACCCACCCCCCACAGCCTCAGCCCTGTCCAGGTAAGCAGGACTGACACCATCGTTGGGAGGGCAGCTCCACCCCACAGTGCTCTCCGCTGCTGAGGGAGGGGTAGATTTACTGAGGAATGTTGCTGGAAGACCTTTGAAGAAACAGCCAAAATAGGGTAGTGAGTTGTAATAACAGCACTGCCTTAGCTGGACTGGAGCATTCCATCATCCCTAGCATTGGCTCTCCAGCGGTATGGAGGTAGTATTCCCTGCCTGTTTTCCCAGCTCCGTTTATTTCTGTTACTGTTGGTGTCATTACAGGGAACAGAGGCAGTGTTTACTGAGACCTCTAACAGCCTGGTATGCTTTGTACCTTATGTGCCTTGCGTTGTATGCACCTCTGCTCTTCGTTGAGCCAAGTTATTCAGAGAGGGGGAAACCAATATTGATTTGTTTGTAAAGGTTGTTTTCCGCAATGGTTTCACCAGAAGGAGCAAATTGTCTGGCAGCTGGGACTATGTTCATGTCCACGTGCATTTTGCCTGGGAAGCATTCTGTTTTCCAGAGCTTGCCAAAAAGCCGCGGCAGCTACCTCCAGAACAGGGATTTCTGCATTGTTTCTGCATTAACCATCTCACCAGATGAGGCCCAGTTAAACGATGCAGCCCTTGAGATGGACCTCATTACTGTACCTTCCATCACTAGCCTTTAAAGCCATGTTTTCTTGGCCTTGTGAAGATGTTCTTCATGCACATGCATTTGACACATGGTCATAGGACAGGAATTGTGCATGGTGGTGTCCTCACCCTGCGGCATGACTGGACCATACATACGGGTATATGAGCTGTTCACATGTGCATGCATTGCAGGATCTGTAGGCTACAGGGCTGTAGCTCTGCAGCAGAATACCTGCTTTGCATGCAGAAAGTCTTAGGTCCAGTCTCTGGCATCTTCAGGCAGGGCTGCGAAAGGTTCCCTGCCTGAAATCCTGGAGAACCTCTGCCAGTCAGCGAAGACTAGGGCTAGAGAACTTGAAGCCCCCCAGATGTTGTGGGCATCTATCTGCCCCAGGGGGCATTGGTAACTGTGGAGATCACACAGGGTCCCCGGACATTTGACCATCTATTGATCCCTGTGCCACCACTGTGATTGCTTTCCCGCTGCCACCAACCCGTTTCTCTTGGGTACACACTGAGTCCAGACAGTTGTTAACATTAACAAATAATCAAGTTTATTTTTATAAGCATGAACAAGTTTAAGGTTTCAGTTAATTTTCCTTGTCAGTTTCTTAATCTTAGTTTCTTTACTGACCTATTTATTTCTAACAACTTCAAACTGATTATCCCAACTATCTATCTGACTCCACCTAACAGTTCCACTCACTCTCTCACAACACAACTCGACCAACCCAGACTATTCTCCCTCTTCCTTCTCCAACTCCCAACTCTCAACTGTCTTCCACACAACACCAACTCTAACTCCACCCCTCGGGTTCCCACTGTCCAATCACTTCACACTCATTTAACCCTTTCCTTGTGACCCACCTAGGAGGGCAAACGCCACAGTAACAGTCAAGCATGATGGGGGTTGTAGCCCACCAACATCTGGAGGTCCACCAGTCACTATCTGTGGCATAGTAAGTGAGCTAGATGGGCCAATGGGAATAAGGTCCCCAAGCATACAGACCCTGTGAGCTGACCACTCTTTGATTGGATATACCTAGACACATAGGAAACTGCAGTCCACATTAGCCGTGGACAAACCTCTCAGGTTCACTTTCTCTCAACATCTTGCTTTTTCAATCTTTTAAGCTCACTTCTCCACATTTCTGCATCAATTTGTGCTTTTTTGGGCGGTGGCAAGGAAAGTTCCTCATGAAAATTTTACCTGCATTTTAGTGCCATTTTCTCCTAATTTACAAAGTGCAAGCAATTTCCCCTAACATAATGCATTTTTGTACATTATTTTATGAACATCTGCATTTTTTAATGTACACTTTACCTGGGTACATTCATCTTTATATGCACTACTCGGCTTTGCAAAATTCAGAGGTGTGCAAACTTGGAAGGATGGCTGAGTTTTGGTTTGTGCATTGAATCAGAAAGTGGAAATCAGGCAAGCTCAGCTTTAAACGCATTTCTCTTCCATCTCTAATGCCATGTGGCCAGTTCTGCACCCCCACAGCTAATCTGCTGCCCTCAGATGGAAGGAGAAACTATCTCATTGCCAGCAATGGAGTAAGATTCAGCAGACGATCGAGCCAGCTTCTCTCCTTTGAAATGTGTGTGGAGGGGGATAGCATAGTATTTTCCTTCAAGCAATGAAGGGTCTGCTCTGGTCCTACACAGCAAACGAAGAGCACCTGCAAAGGTAAAATGTGTGTTGCTGGTTTGTATAAATTACTTGCATTGGAATCACTTTCTAGAAGAAAAAAAATAATTGAGATGTTTTGCAAATTCCCCCCTTTAATTCCACTAATAAATGATCACATGAGAGATGGGTAAGTTGGCTTGTAGAGCAGGCACAAAACGAAGACTTTTCGTTTGCAAAGCTTCATTAAAGAAAATTGCCTGGTCAGGTTTAACATGTTTCAGTGCGCAGGGGTGAGCATCTGTTTTGGCCCTCTGTCTTACGGGCACTCAGGGGAAATCTGCTGATGGTGCTCTACAGCCTCAGGAGGCGGCGTTCTGTTTCTTGACCTCAGATGCACCCAGCAACGTGACACTTGTTCTTGATCTCGGCAGAACTTTGGCAAAGGACAGCAGTGACTCTGGGCTGGTGGGATGCCGCTCCCAGGAGCATTCTGGCAGAATGAGTTTCGAGTGACATGCAAATGCATGTCTGGAACTATTCCAGACTTTCCCCAAACACCCAAGGACTTCCTCCAAATGGCGTTCATGTATCTCATTGTGCGCACAGAGGCATATTTTAAGGGCAATGGACATTTCCACAAAGATAATTCAGGAAGGGTTATACTACTGCACTGCGTCAACTGTATCAAAGAACAGAGAGAGTCTGCTAGACTCAATGGCCCATCTCGCCCAGTGTCCTGTTTTTGCAGTGGCCAACCAGATGCCATGGAGAAGCACATAAGCATGAACTGAGTGCAAGAGCACTCTACCCACTTGCGATTTCCAGCAACCGGTATTCAGGGGCATGGCTGCCTCCAGCAGTGCAGGTGGAACAAAGCCATCATGGCTGGTGACCATTCAGAGCCTTATCTTCCATGAAAACCTATGACCCCTTATTCCTCAACCAGAGGATCAATGTAAGGATGAGGCACATGGTAAACAAAACTGGATTTTTATCTAAACACAATGAATGAGAGTTAAAACTTAATGGTTTCTGTGATTAGGCACACCACTTTATTTCAGTCAAAACCACTTTACAGAAAGAATTGAGTATTCTACTTAAAACTTCCACTTTTAACCAGTTTCTGAGCTTCTCCTAAAATGACTATTTGTTCTAATAATCCAGAAAGACACACCCAGCCCTTTCTAGGATCTTCCCCTTCCCCTCAGGGTAATAATCACAGTTGCTCTACCTAGCAAATTCCTAATCCCTTTCCAGGCTCTATCTAAGCCCTATCTGAAAGTTTAACTGTTGGGTACCAACTTTTAACTCTGCATTCATTCCTGATTGGTTGGTTGACACCCTGCCCAGCCTTGATTGGTTACTGGGTCTCTACGAGGATGGCTGTCCATCACACCTGAGCT